CAGATTGGAAAAGAAGTAAAATTATCTCTATTCATGGATGATATGATCCTATATACAAAAAAATCTCAGAGTCCACAAGAAAACTTCTAGAGCTAATAGAGGAATTTAGGATAGTTGCAGGGTACAAGGTCAACAATAAAAATCAGTTGGGTTTTTATACACCAGCAATGAGATATCTAAAAGGGAAATTAGCAGAACAATTCCATTTACAATAGCATCTAAGAATATTAAATACCTAGGAATAAATCTAACCAGGGATATGAAGGACTTATACAATAAAAACTATAAAACACTGCTGAAAGAGATTAAAAACAAAAACAAAATAAACCCATTGCTGTTGAGTTAATTCTGACTCATAGCGACTCTATAGGACAGAGCAGAACTGCCCCACAGGGTTTCCAAGGAGCAGCTGGTGGATTCAGACTGCCAATCTTTCGGTTAGCAGCCAAGCTCTTAACCACTGCACCACTAGGGACTTAAATAAATGAAAAGATGTTCCATATTCATGGATTGGAAGACTTAATATTGTTAAGATGTCAATACTACCCAAAGCGATCTATAGATTCAACACAATCCCAATAAAAATTTCAACAGCCTTCTTTATAGAAATAGAAAAACCAATCCTCAACTTTACATGGAATGGCAAGAGGCCCCGAATACCTAAAACAATGTAAAAAGAGAAGAACAAAGTAGAAGGACTCACACTTCTTGATTTTAAAAAATACCATACAGCTACAGTAATCAAAACAGTCTGGTACTGGTATAACAATAGCTATATAGATCAATGGAATAGAATTTACAGTCCAGAAATAAACCCACACATTTTTGGTCAACTGATTTTTGACAAAGGTGCTAAGTCCATTTGATGGGGGGAAAGAAGAGGCTCTTCAGTAAGTGGTGCTGGGAAAATTGGATTTCCACATGCAGAAAAATGAAACAGGATCCAGGCCTCACAGTATACACTAAAACAAATCCAAAATGCATTAACCTAAATGTGCAAACTAAAACCATAACATTCTTAGAAGAACAAACAGGGGCAATGCTGTCTCAAGTCTAGCTTTCAACAATGGATTATTTAATACAATAATAAAAGCACAAAGAGCCAAAGAGAAAATAAATAAATGGGATCTCATAAAAATTAAAAACTTCTGTTCATCAAAAGATTTTACCAAAAGATGAAAAGAGAAGCTACCTACTGAGAGAATATCTTCGGAAACCATATATCCTACAAGAATCTAGTAACAAAAATATATATAAAACTTTGACAATATAACAACAAAAGAAAAATAATCCAATCATAAAATGGGCAAAGGACTTGAATAGACATTTCATCAACGAGGACATTCAAATGGCCACCAAACACATGAAAAGATGCTCAGCATCATTAGCCATCAGAGATGCAAATCAAAACCAAAATGAGATAGCATTCCACTCTCACTAGGATGGCTTAAAGAAACAGAACAAATGTTGGCAAGGATGTGGGGAAACTGGAACCCTTATCTATTGCTGGTGAGAATGCAAAATGGTACAGCCATTGTGGAAAACAGTGTGGTGATTCCTCAAAAAATTAAAAGTAGAACAACCATATGACCTAGCAATTCTACTCCTAGGTATAAAAAAAATTAAAAGTAGAACAACCATATGACCTAGCAATTCTACTCCTAGGTATATACCCAAAAGATTTGAAAGCAGAGACTCAAACGATGAACACCAATGTTCATAGCAGCACTACTCACAACAGCCAACAGGTGGGAAAAAACCTAAATGCCCATCAACAGATGAATGGATAACAAAATGTGGTACATACCTCCAATGGAGTATTACTCAGCCAGTAGGAAAAATGAAGTCTTGATAATGCTACAGTATGGATGAAGCTGGAAGACATTATGCTGAGTGAAATAAGTCAATCACAAAAGGACAAATATTGTATGACCTCACTTACATAAAAAGACAAGAACAGGCAAATGCATAGAGACCAAAGTTTATTAGTGGTTACCAGGGGCAGGAGGGAGGTGGAAAACAGGGGGAATAGCAGTGATGGAAACATCTTGTTGATTAATCGTACGGTTGCACAGCTGATTATTGTAATTGCCGTCAATAAGCTGGACACCTGTAAAAAGTTGAACTGGCAAAAAAAGTTGTGTGATAAGATATATTTACAACAATGACCACAAAGAAGAAGTTGCTGCTGAGGCTGCTTATGTACAACCAAAAACCTCATGAGATTTAGGAAGTTTAAGGTCATGGTTTCATGGGACATCCCAGTTAATTGGCCTAATAATGTCTGTAGCGCTTCTGTTCTATCTCCTAGTTCAGGGCATAGTGCCTGGGGTCTTAAAAGCTTGCAAGCAGTCAACCGAGGCACAGCAATTTGTCTGTATTTGCCTGGAGCAACAGAGCAAGCTGAGTCAGGAATAGGAGGATATGGAGTGTGTGGCTAATTGCCTCCATGAACAACTGCCTCCACTGCCATGAGAACAGAAAAACTGGATGGTGCCCAGCTACCATTACTGAACATTTTGATTAAAGTTTCCATAGGAGAATTCTGATCAAAAGGGGGAAAATGCAGAACATAATTTCAAATTCTCATGGATTCTAGACGTTCTGGAGCCAAGGAGGCCCAGTGGACCCCTGAAACTGTTGCCCTGATATCTTTACACTTTAAACAAAAAATAAGTCATCTTAAAACTGAACAGTAGTTTAGCATAACTGGTAAAAAAAAGTCTGCCTTGAGCATTATGCTCTTTTAAGAAATCAACTATATAGGATCAAATTAAAAACAGTAACTCAAAAGCTTAGGTAGGAACCTTAGGGGGCAGTGAGTTTATGTTAATGAGGGAGGAACAACTCAGAAAAGGAGGGTGAGAATTGTTGTATAACTTGAAGATTATTAATCAATGTCACTAAACTGTGCATGTAGAAACTGTTGAATTGGTCTATGTTTTGCTGTGTATACTCTCATTAATAACAAAATGAATAAAATTTAGAAAAAAATGAACTCTGAACAAAAAAAAGTTTTACAATTATTGTGATAATCTGTATTTATACTTAAAGTTCTCGAAACATTTAACAGAATCTGACATAATAGCCATTTCATCATCATTTCAAATGTTTGTGATTAATTTGGGAATTTAAGTTCATAAATGGTATTTGAAAATTTGATAGCTTGATTTATGTATAAATTGGATTTATTAGCTTTACAAGATTTAGTTAAGTGCTTACAAAGATCTGAAAGTTACGTTTTAAGATTGCCCTAATTAGGCTTCTTGAAAGGTTTGGGAGAATCAGATACAAAAAAAAATTATGTTTAACTTAGAATGTTTAAGCTCCAAACATTCCCTAAATGCTAAAGGGATTCAATGAACTACATCTGTAAACAAAAAACCAAAGCTGATGCAGTCAAGGCGATTCCAACTCATTAGTGACCCTACAGGACAGAGTAGAACTGCCCTAGCTGTAACTTTTATGGGAGCAGACTGTCACAAATTCCTCTCACAGAACGGCTGGTGGGTTCAAACCGCCGACCTTTCAGTTAGCAGCTGAGCGCTTTAACCACTGTGCCACAAGGGCTCTCCACCAGCCACTCCGCAGAAGAAACGTGTCAGTCTGCTGCTTTACGTAAAGATTTACAGTCTTGGAAATCCGATGGGGCAGTTTCACTTTGTCCTATAGGGTTGCTATGAGTCAGAACCCACTTGACAGCAAAGTTTGTAGGCTGGGTTACTTATTTAGGAGTGTTTTATTCATTGTCCTTAAATATTAATTAAAATCCAGGTAAGTTCTTTTTATGCACAAAGGTCTCTTGGCCATTAAAAGAAAAGCCACTCAAATGAAAGAGGTTTGCTCTCCTTTTTCAAATTGATGTTTGCCTCAGTCCTTTATTCTTTCACAACATTTTTAATGTCCTTAAAACTAACTCATCAAATTAAAGTCAATATTAAGCTGTTTACTTGTAGCAGCCTAATGAAAACAATTGGGGGTTGTCGGCTAAGGGGAGATGGGTTCTGTTTACGCTTCTGGCTGACTCATCTTACTTGCTACAAATGCCACAGTGATCACAGAGCACACTTAGAATACACCAAGGGGTTCTTAAAGATACACAAAATTGCATTATGTCCAAGAACCACTCTTTCTGCTGCATTTCTTATTCCAGCTTCTACGAAATCCAGGCATCAAATTTTATTACCACTTTCCATTCCACAAAAGACAGGGACAATATTACATAGTAAGCTGTCAATAAATGTCTGATTAATTATAAATAAACTAGTAATAAAGATGCAAATTATATGTAATTGTAAAACAATGCCATGCACATTTTCTTAGCCTCCTAATCTTATGGCTTTTTATCTCATTTAACTCAATGAAAGAATTACTCTCTTGGAAGATGTATTAAAGCCTTCCAGATCACCAGACAGCACAGTATTATAGTAACTAGATGACCGTTGTTGTTGTTGTTGTTAGGTGCTGACGAGTCGGTTCCAACTCCTAGTGACTCTATGTACAACAGAAGGAAACACTGCCTGGTCCTGTGCCGTCCTCACAATTGTTGCTGTCAACTGGATGACTAATAACTGGATGACTAGTATTTTTAAAAGCCCAAATAGTTTAAACCAGTTGCTGTCAAGTCAATTTCAACTCATGGCAGCCCCATGTGTGTCAGAGAACTATCCTCCATAGGGTTTTCAGCAGCTGATTTTTTGGAAGTAGATCATCAGGCCTTTCTTCTGAGGCACCTCTGGGCAGACGTGAATCTCAACTTTTCAGTTAGCAGCCAAGTGTGTTGACTATTTGCGCCACACAGGAATTCCCCAAACAGTTTAAAGTAACTCCCAACAGTACCTAACTGCCTTCCAAAGGGCAGAATTATACAACTGAAAACGACAGACGGAACACCATTCTTACATAACACAGCTGGAATCAAACGAGTAATTAAGAAAACGTGTCCTTGGGGAAAAAAGGGAACTACGGAGCAAAGCAAAATAGTTAGGAGAAGAGTAATCTTATTTATATACTTTGATTTTATTTTCATAATTATCTTCATACAGAAGTAACAATCTGCATTTCTATAACAACATTTAATATTCTACTCATCATAGAGCTGGGAAAAATAGGAATAAAGCAGATTTCATACATCAATACCATATTCTGCATATGTACAAAGAAATTCAATATATTAAATATATTTTGTAGACTGACTTCACTTACAATAGAACATTGAATATTAGATTCTGAGCATATTCATGCAGACTTCCACTTTGGTCAAGGTCATGATGCTAGAGCTCTGAAGAACAATTTTTCCTGTTGTAAACATCAAGCTCTCCACTGCTGACTATATTCTAGGATAAAGAATTTACATTAAGGGAAAAAATAAAATGCAATAAATATGTAACATATGCTGTTGGCTAGACACCACACAGACTAACCCTACTACCAAAGAAATAACCACCCAAGTACCGCACATTAGCTGTTAAATCTGGGCCAGGTGTGTGTGTGGGAGGCAGCGCCCATCTACAGCCATTTATGCTGTTTAAGGGTCAGTCACACTGCTGCTACAGAATGCACTATTTTTTTCTTTTTTAAGTTTTCAGTATGTAAGAAAGAAAGACTAAAACTAAAAAAAACTTCTCCAAAGCGGTAATGGATAATATGGTCTATGAACAGATGATCTGAAACATATTTAAAGCACTACCCAAATCTGTTTAAACAGATTAACTAGTTCGAGACAGCACTTATGTAAGACTCCAGAAGCTTCTGAGAGACTCTAAAGGGCACAGCAGCAACAAGGGGATCTCTGAAACATTAACAGCTCTTTAAGGACAAACGCCTGAACACAGCTTTATTTGTTCATAGTTAATCCCGATGCAATTACTGAAAATGAGCTGCGACCAGCAGAACTATGCAAGTGATTTAAGGAATTAAAACATTAAATTAGTGTTTTGTATCAGGCCTTCAATAAAGATTCTCTACCCAAGCACACCTGCAAAATGAGGCTGTTATTCTATCTAAGCTCTCCCACAGAACCAACTGTGACTAAAAGCGCTTAGGATAAATAGACGAGTGTGTCTCGGAAGCCCAGCAAAACTAAAGCAGCACACTCTACTCAGGAAGGTGTGAGAAGTACAGCCCGAGGGGGACTAAGCAGGAAGCGACCCGGGACAGCATCTGCCTGCAGAACGCACACTGACCCTGGCTGCAGTCTCTTTCCAATTAACAGGTTATGAGATGGGCCTAAGCCACGCAGGGTGAAAAAGGAATCCTTCAAAAATAACATTTTTGGAAATTACTAAAGGATTAAACCACTGGCAGCACAGTGTTTTAAATACATGGCTTTCAAAAGCAATTATTCCCTTTCACATAAATTTTTGTAGTATACAGCATTTCCCATGTTCAAGTTATAGTCAAGCAGAATAGTTCTGACTCTAAATAAATTAGAAATTATTTTCGTGGCTAGAAATGTATATATCAGGATTGACAGAAACATTACTTCTTAGAATGCATAAAAAAGGTCTTCACAGCTTCCAGTTAGTCAAGAACCAAGTAAGTCTGGAGAGAGTCACTGTTTTTTGTTTTGTTTTGTTTTTAGGTGAAAGAAATGCCCTAAACTGAAGACATTTACAAAATGATTTAACATGCTACCTTAAAATTTTACAAACTCACATATAAGATCTTAAATGCATTTTTTTATTGGGCTAAATAATACTTCAGGCTCAAAATAGCTTCCTGTTCTGATCTTACCTCGGAAAAGATTTAACAGTTTAACTGTATGTAATATCATGAAGTATAAATTTCCTTTCAAAACAAATTTTTTAAATGCTTATTTTTAGCAGTAAACCTTACTTTTAGCAGCAATTATGAAATAAAATGAAAAGGAACTTCTCCAACAATAGATTAAAAGATCCCAAAAGGGAAGAACATCCCCGTCTATTGCCTCATTTGTTTAGAACGTAATCTGCCTAGAATCTGGCTCATAAATTTTAAAATCTACTGCATCGAAACACGACAGTACATTTTCCGTTAATTCTTGCTGGTGTCTTAAACTTCTTATCATGAACAGAAAAAAATGCTTCACAGGGAGTGGATACAGATGGGTGATTTGGGGAAATGGTAACTGAAAAATACAGTCTTAATTTGCATTCAAATAACTACCGTAATGAAGTATGGAATATCCAAAGTTCCAAGTCCATGAAATGGCATGTCAGAATTTTTTCTCTTCTTCTTCCTGTTCTTTCTTGCACAGTAAAATGCTAGCACAGTCCTCCTGAGTACTCGTCTTCCTCTTCCTCAGCAGCTGTGGTCGTGGTGCCGTCAGGCTTGGCCTGTGGTGTAGCTGGTGATTTCTTCTTGATGCCCCCTCCTGGAACCACCAAACTCAGGCCCAGTTTAGCATACTGCCAATGATAAAACATATTCTTAGAAGCTGGAGAATGAGAATCCCTATGTGATGTCTCAACAACAATTATCCCTAAAAATACAGATCCTAGGCCTCTACACTCATGAAAGCAAACGCTACCATTTAAAGACAAACAACTCCACACTGCTCTGCTGTCAGAATATCCACCGACCTGACGTGAGACAGCCAACAGTCAGTCAGAACGTCAATCAGACACTGCAACTCGGAACTTGAGATAATCTGGACATGCTACGTTAGACTCGCAGTACTATGGAACAAAGGTCTGCTGAGTAAATGTTGTGTGTAAGCCAGGGACAAATTTTTCAAAAACATATACAAATTTACAAAAGCCTAGGTAAGAATTTATCCAGAAAAAATTGTTTTCTCTACAGACGTCACTGTAAAAAACTGAAGGTCTTAAACTGGCCCGTTGCATGAGGAGACACTAAACCTGCAACACCAAATCAACAAGCGCTCACAAATCTACCAGAAAAAGGAAATAAAGAATAAAACTCATACCCAGGGCTCACAGTATGTATACGACATGGTGTGACACTGTTTCTCACACACTGACTAATCTAGTCCTCACAACAGTCCCTCAAGATAGGTACCTTTAGCTCCACTTTTACAGATGAGTGAACTGAGACTCAGAGACATTTAATTAATAACCTGCCTCATACAGCGAGCTGTCAGACGTAGGATTCTAACAAGTCTACTTAATTACGAAGGCTACTATGTAATGGACCTCTTTCAGACAGTGAGCCTAAAAGAAACTTCATACCCTAAGCAACAGGTTAGTTGAGAACCTGTTGAATCTAGAGGACAACAGATGGAAGCACAAATTAGAAAAGAGAAATGGGCTGCATTTAAATATATGCATATGGTCAACCCAGTCAGATGGATAAGTAAATGGTTGTTAACCCATATGGTTACATCCAAATAACCTAAACTTTTGGTGAAATGCAATGGGAAGTGGTTCCTTTCTGAGTAGTAGAGCTTGAGGTGAAAATCAGGAGGCAGAAAATCTCCTAAGTACAAAGGAGAAAAATAATCTTACTAAAAGCCTCTTTGTTTCAAGAGGAAATAACACTAACCAAAAAGGCCAACTTACATCATTGTCCATGTACTTGAAAAGTGGAGAGTTGCAGACCTCCGACACTTGATCTTGGTCTTGCTGGTCATATCCCTCAAGAAGCTGTTCCAGTGCAGCACAGTCTTCACTTCCATTGAACCCTGGTATGCTACAATAAACACAGTTCACACTTTTTCACCTTTTCCCTAGAAGAACAGTTCTCAACCAGGGATGATCTTTGTCCGAGGGGACGTTTGGCAACATCTGGAGATGTTTTTGACTGTTACGAGTGAGGGGTGCTACTAACAGCTATGGATAGAGACTACGGATAATGTTAAACATCCTAAAAGCACAGGACAGCCACCACAGCAAACAGTTAACCAGCCCAAGTGTCAACAGTCTTGAGACTGAGACTGCTCTTGCTAAACATCTTAAACAGGAACATCATTCATTCTGGTCTTCCTGCAACATACAAGGTAAGATCTTTTTTTCGTAGGAAGTAAATATAACAAAATCATTAAAGTCATTCACCCACTGAAGTCCCCACAAGAAAAACAGAAAACTAGAACAAGTTGTAAAAATTTTGCTGTAAAAGCTGAAATGGTAACCAAGTGCTTCTACTGCTATGAAGATTAGGGGAAATAAAAATTTCATAGCCAAAAACATTTGTCTAACCAGCAATCTTAGTTTAAGAAACAGAAATGTTAATTGCCAAGCCAAGATAAACCGGTGAACTATCTTACCTATAGCTCTCCCTGACACATCTTTCTGCAGCCACGTAGTCATTTCTGTGTAGATGAACTAGGACTTGAGCAATTGTTTTCTAAAACAAAAGAGGTGATTATGGTCCAAATTTATATTGATGTAATAAAGCCAATTTCCTGGTAGTAATAAAAACATCTGGAACTTAACATTCAGAGTCTTGGTTTATATGTTGAGAGATTTAAAAATTCTATAGTAACTTCCACAGGACACTTGAGGGAAAATATCCTACAAGGGTACTTCTCAAGCTCTAACGTGCATACAAATCATCCAGGAAATGAAGACTTCAATTTAGCAGGGCTGAGGGAAGCCTCAGATCCTGCCATTTCTAACAAGTTCCCAGGTGGTACTGACACTGGTAGGACCACACTTTGAGTAATGAAGACTTAGAAAACATACACCACACATTTTAAAGAAAACTTCTTTTAAAGCTATATTTAGATTTCATCTTGAAAAGGGAATAAAAAGCGGGGGGAGGCCATAACTCTACAATTAAACTTTGGAATTCTTAGAGACAATAAGAAAAAGATGTATGAATAAAAACTTTGAATAAGAGAAATAATGATACCATTTCAAGGATATTACTGATACAATCTTATCAGTAAAACAGCTCTTCACAAACTATTTTTCAACCTTTTTATCTCTATAGTTCAGATAACTTCTATTGATCTATGTTCAAGTTCACTGACTCTTCTACCATTTCTATCACGAGAATAAGCCTATACAGTATTTTATTTCAAATGTATTTTTCAGTTTTAAGATTTCCACTTAATTTCTACAGTTTCAATCTTTCCATTCATTTCAACTGTGTTTACCTTACCTCATGGAACAGTTATAATAGATGCTTTGAAATCTTTAATAATTCCAACATCTGGGTCATCTCACAGTTGTCTTTTAAACATTGGTCAAATTTTCCTGGTTCTTTGTATGTCAAGTAATTCTGGATTATATCCTGGACATTTCTGAATGTTATGCTATAATTCTCAGGAGAATACTGATGTTTTTGTTTTAGCTGGCACTCATCCCAATTATGTTCAGACTACGTTTGGTCTTACGTTTGCTGGGTGGTGGTTCTAATCTTAAGTTCAAAGCCTTGCTATGCTGCTTTGGGTCTGTCCCACACATGAAACTTGGGCAGTGGTTTAAATCTTATTTCAGTTCTCAAACCTCTGCATTCCTATTTGGGTGTCTCTTATGCAGGCACCACTAAGGGGTTAGTCTGGGACTTGGTGGTGGTGGTTTAAAGTCTTACTTCAGTTCCCAGAGCCTCTGCTATGCTTTTAGTGGGGAGTGAACCCAACACTATGTGGACTCACATTCAAACTTAGGGGGTCTCCTTTTCCAGTTCCCTCCTTTCTGAGATTTTCCCTTTGCTCTCTCAGCTCCCAGTTCCTCTGGCTAAAGAGATTAGACTTCTTTTGGAGTTTTAGCTGCTGTAGCTCCACAGCCCGGGTCTATTACTGCTGTAGCTCTACAACTAGGGCCTATCCTCAGAGTATAAGCCGGGGCGGGGGGCGGGGGGAGAAAGAGGAAAAAAAACAAGGCCTCCTTTCCCAGTTCCTCTGCATAGAAAGATGGGATTTCATCAGGAGTTTTATCTGCTATAGCCTCTGCTTTCCAGCTCCATAACTGGAGGTTTTTCTAGAGGTAATGACGTTTGAGAAAATAGAAGGAAAAAATCTGGGAACCTCACTCTCAGATGCTTCTCCAAGTTTTCACTCCCTTCCACAATTCACCTGCTTTTATTACTTTCCACAGTTCACTGGTGGTTGCTTTTTATACTTAGCCCATAAGTTTTAGCTACAACCAGCAGGAGAGACAGAAGTTGTAGTGGGTTTATTCCATCTCAGTCAGAAACAGAAGCCCATTAAGTATTATTTTACAAAAATACACAAATATACATAGAATTCTCTCTTAGGTACCCATTCACACCAATATGAAAAATTATCTAATGTAAAGCTGAAAATGAGACTTTTAAAGAATACCTTATAACATGTTGGATAATTCTCAATTTCCTTATAAATAGTTTTTTCTTTCTGAATAGAGAGTGCTGCCTCATCAAACCTAAAGACAAAACAAAGAAATGTAAAACAAGGCAGGCCTAAACAATTTATGGTAGTGGTCACCTTTGTATTTAACATTACAGATTTTAGAGAAACAAGATATTAGGCATTTTAGCAATTGCTCCGTAACTGATGCTCTGCTTATCAGACCTGTCTTTTAAATATCCAATTCTCTCTTTTAGGCATAAAGCTGATAGACAAAACAAAAGAACTTAAGGATGTGTTACTTCAAATGGTGATTTTTATCTCTGGTAATGGTCATTCATTAACAAGATGCAACAAGGTGCTTGGGAAATATATCAGGGACAATTCTAGATTTAATTATTTCACTCCAATTGCAAGGGCACCCAGAAGCCCCAAGAACACTCATCCCCTGCTGAAGAATTATTTCTCCCACCTTTGCTCTCATCATTACCTACTCCACTGATGCCTCAGTTACGCTTAGCAAGCTCCACCATGCCTAAAAGGGCTAGAAAATGGAGGGAAGCAAAGTTAGAAGGCTAGAAAAAAGTCCTTCCTTCCACCTTTGATCTTCAACATTCATTATTTTTCTATCCACTCTCATATATTTTCTCCTTCTTCTATTACACCCAGATGACAGAATGAAGAAGAAAGACATCACCAAAAAATTTCCCTGAAACTCACCAAAACCCTACTCCTTTCTTAGTTCTGTAGTTCTCATTCTATCATACCCTAATCAGATTTTCATCTCCCTGTTAAATTCTTATTTTCTTAATTCCAGGGCTCCCTTACTACCATCTAACTCCTGACTGGATGAATTTTGTAGTCTTCACCCATTTCTTTCACCCCAATGAAGAGTCAGAGGCTATGGTTAGCAACTCCAGTGGCTTGATATTGGGAAGTTCATACAACTCAAAAGTTGAAAAGGACAAGGAGTCTGCGGTTAGGGATACAGAGGGAAGAGAGGTGTCACTGTAACCCAAATTAAAAATATAAAAATATTGTATTATATGCTGTTTTTTTGTACATTAGTAATTTTTTTAAAAAAAATTGCATACATACAAATACACAGTTGTGTGGTTTATAGTAATATTGTTACTCATACTGTAAGTTAAACTGAATTTTTGTGGGCTGCCCAGACAACCTAGTGCCTCATAAAATACTGTTCATTGTAGAAATGCATTCTGAATTTCCAAAGATCAACTCAATAAATTTCTGGAATAAAATCAGTTTGTAAGTTGGTATGTGTCTTAGACTGGGTTCTCTAGAGAAGCAAAACCAGTGAAGCATCTGTGTATGTGTTTGTGTATGTGTGTATATATACATATATATTTATTTCAAGAAAATGGCTAACATGGTTGTAGAGGCTGGCAAGTCCCAAGTCCATGGGTTAGGTGTCAGGCTGAAGGCTTCTGACTTGCGTAACTTCAGCAGGCCCCTTGCTCAAATCTCAAGAACTGGAGGTCAGATGATGATGGGCTGGATGCAGGATCCAGAGCAAGCGAGCGGGCTGTGCTATAACGTCCATATATATATTGGATGCAGGCCACAACCCCAGGAAAATTATCATTACAACTGATTGGCTGATCACTTCAGATTACAACATGGAGGATGACTACATCATTACATAACTGCCAAACCACTGAGAATTACATCCCAGCCAAGCTGCAACACAACGTTAACCCTCACAGTCCACCTCTTCTCAACCTGGCACCTGTACACATCTCCTTAAACCACAATCTCTAAATAAAGACATTTACAGGGTCATACTTGTACCTAACATGATATGACTAACGTGTATAAACTGAAAACGCACTAGCACCATTTACATCTTACCTTTTATAAGTGAAGGAAACAAAAATATTTGATGCACACATACAAGGAAGAAATACAATTACAGTCCTTGTTACTGCAACTGGTCACATGGTCATAACTGGTATTTAGAACTACCTTCTTCCTCCATCCATTCCACATTCCTTTTACCTTCAAAGCAAGCACCACAGCTCGTGGTTGTTCTTTGCCTGATGGGGTGACCCAAAACATCCTTCCTGAAGGACCTGGGCCATTAGTAGTCACGTTAGACTTGAGTTGCTGTAGTTTTCCACTGACTTTAATCACAGGGCATGGTAGTACTAACAGATGCAAAAAATGATCTTCTGTATTCCAGACATAATCTTCTTTACCCCCATTATGCAACACCAGTCCAATTTCCCCTTGGTAGTAAGGATCAATCACACCAGCCAATATGGCAACTCTTTTCTTTGCCTGTTGATCCATAGGCAAACTGGCCAGGTAGCATTCTTAACTTTCAGATTGATAGAATCCGTGTTGTGTCTCCAGGAGGGAGCATTCCTCCCTTTGGAACTAATACCTCCAGTCCCACAGAGCACAGGGTGGCAGGGACAGGAAGCAAAAATTTTGTGAGTGGATTACTACAGGTAATAAAGAGTGGTGCCACTCCCATTTCCACTCCTTGATTCCTGGAACTGTGAATCCTGGCTACAGGAGAACAGCACCATATACTGGATGCTGGTTTAGAGCATATACAGCCTCCTGGAGAACACTGCCCCAACCCTACAAAGTACCAGCACCTAGCAGGTGCCGTAATTGTGTCTTTAGGAGGCTATTCCATCGTTCTATCAAGCCAGCTGATTCAGGATGATGGGGAACATGCTAAGAATAGTGAATTCCATGAGCATGGGCCCACTCACTTGCTGTGAAATGAGTCCCTTGATCCAGGGCAATGCTGTGTGATACTATGATGGTGGATAAGACATTCTGTGAGTGCATAGATGACAGTTTTGGCAGAAGCATTAAGTGCAGAGAAGGCAAGTTTATATCCAGAGTAAGTGTCTATCCCATTAAGAAAGAAAAGATGTTCTTTCCATGATGAAAGAGGTCCAATGTAATCAACCTGCCCACCAGGTTGCTGGCTGTTCACTTCGAGGAATGGTGCCATTTCCAGACTCAGTATTGGTTTCTGCTGCTGGCAGATTAGGCACTCACCAGTGGCTGTAGTCAACTCTGCCTTTGTGAATGGAAGTCCACATTGCTCAGCCCAAGCATAACCTTCATCCCTGCCACCATGCTCAAGAGCCCAATGGGCAATGACAGGAGTAGATGGAGAAAGAGGATAACTGGTTTCCACAAAATGTGTCATCCTATCCACTTGACTGATAAAATCCTCTTCTGCCGACGTTACCCTTTGGTGAGCATTCACATTAAGACACAAACATCTTCACTTATTTGGCCCAGTACGGGAGGTCTATCCTCATACCTCTTCCCCATATCACCTTGTCACCAGTTTTCCTATCATGTTCATTCCAAGTCCCTGACTATCCAAACGACTGGCCACAGCCCATCAATCAGTAGGCAATCGTGCACCTACCCATTTCTCCTTCCAGTCAAAATGGACACTCAGGTGCACTGCTCAAAGTTCTGTCCATTGGGAGGATTTGCCTTCATTACTGTCCTTCAGGGAGGTACCAGAAAGGGCCTGTAGTGCTGCCACTGTCGACTTTCAAGCGGTGCCTGCATATCACACAGAACCACCTGTAAACCAGGCATGAGTTTTCCTTAGTCAACTGATCATAACAAACTCCACATGAGGCCATAGGTGCAGACCAGGAGAGGGTAGGTAATGTGACAGGAGTGGAGATCATGTGTATTTGGGCCACTTCCTCATGCAACTTACTTGTGCCTTCAGTTCCTGCTGGGGTCCAATCTTGTATATACCAATTCCATTTAATGATGGAGAGCAACTGGTTCAACTTTATGGCTCTGTGGGTCAAACAACACCCAGCTCATGACAGGCATTTTAAGCTGCATGGTGACTTTGCAGCCCATGGTTAAGCCTTCAGTCTACTAAGACCCAATAACAACCCAAAAGCTCTTTTTCAAAAGGAGAGTAGTTATCTGCAGAGGATGGCAGAGGTTTGCTCCAAAATCCTAAGGGTCTGTGCTGTGATTTACCATTAAGGTCCTGCCAAAGACTCCAAACAGCATCTATGCCTCTGACACTTCAAGCACCATCGGATCTGCCAGATCATATGGCTCAAGTGGCAGAGCTGTTTGCACAGCAGCCTGAATCTGTTGCAGAGCCTTCTCATGTTCTGGACCCACTCAAAAGTAGCAGTTTTTTGAGTCACTTGATAAACACGCTGGAGTAGCACACCCAAATGAGGGATATGTTGCCTCCAAAATCCAAAGAGGCCCACCAGGGACTATGTCTCCTTTTTAGTTGTAGGAGACGCCAGGTTTAACAACTTATCTTTTACTTTAAAAGGAATATCTCGACATGGCCCACAGCACTGGGCTCCCAGAAATTTCACTGAGGTAGAAGGCCCCTGAATTTTTGTGAGATCAATATCCCATCCTATAGGATGCAAATAGAGCCCTGGTGGCACAGAGGTTAAGAGCTATGGCTGCTTGACTAACTTCAACATAATGCCTTCCAGATTCATCCATGTTGTGCTCTCACATTATAGGGATTGCAACTAGTATCACATAACAGTATGTGTATAAATTTTTGTATGAGAAATTAACTTGAGCTGTAAACTTTCACCTAAAGCGCACACACACACACACACACACACACACAAAAAAAGCTATGGCTGCTAATCAAAAGGTTGGCAGTTCGAACACACTAGCCACTTCTTGAAACCTTATGAGACAGTTCTACTCTGTTCTATAGGATCACTATGAGTCGGAATTGACTGGATTGCAATGGGTTTGTTTTATTTTTTTGTTAGCATGCAAATGTTTAACCAGTAAGTCCAGAGTCACTGACGCTTCTTCCTTACTAGGTCCAACCAGGATAATGTCATCGATATAATGGACCAGTGTGCTGTCTTGTGGAAGGGAAAGGCAATCAGAGTTACTGCAGACTAAAATATGACATAGAGTTGGAGAGTTGATATAATCCTGATGTAGGACAATAACAGCTGAAGGTAAACCGCTTCTGGTGTTCCTTCAAAACCAGAATTGAGAAAAAGGCATTGGCCAGATCAACAGCTGCATACCAAGTACCAGGAGATGGAT